AGAAAAATTGAATGAATTGCTGTAAGAAAAGCATATTCATCAAGGTTCTTCAGAAGCAAAACAAATATGAGCTATGTCTCCAACAGAGAACCTGAAGAGGAAATCCCTGATCCCACAGGGAGCCCCTTCCCACTCCCCTCTGCAGCTGCTCTTGAATGGTCTCTGTGCTCTGGTCTCCTGAGCACCCTCTGATGGTCCTGAGCACCCCGTGGTATACAGAGCACAGCCAGAAGCCCAGCCCCTCCTGTCTCCCTGCAGAGAGGTTTTGTTTGTGATGACATTGATTTCCCCTCACTGTGCCTCTGGAGCAGTAATACACAGCCATGTCCTCAGCAGTCACAGAGCTCAGCTGCAGGGAGAATGATCCCTTGGATGTGACTCTGGAGATAGAGGTGTGGCCATTGAGGGATGGGTTAAACTTTGTGCAACCATCGTAGCTGATCTTCCCATTCCACTCCAGCCCCTTTCGTGGGCGCTGCCAGATTCAGTTCCACCATTGATTGATGGTTGTGATGGACAATCCACAGACAGCACTGGTGAGTGAGAGGGTCTGAAAGGGCTTCACCAGTCCTGGATCTGACTGTTGCAGCTGCACCTGGGACAGGACTCTTGGGGACAAGGAGAATAAGTTCCTGTCAGTCACCTGCAGTCACATCCATCCCGATAGAGCAGAGTCTGACATCTGAGACACTCACCTTGTGAAGCCAAAACCATGCAAAGGAGAAGACCCAACAGTCTCATCTTCTAGACCACAGCTCTGCCTTCCCAAGAAACCTCAGCCCTTTCTGAGCATAGCACTATGAACTCCCACAGCCCAAGAGTGGATTTGATTCTAAAGCTTGAGGATAAATTTACACGTAGGAGACCCTGGCACTTATAGGTGGGGAAAGACTGATGTCAGGCTGTCCCTGGTCCTTCTTGCATTCTTCGTCATCCCTCCTGTGATGTGGATCTCATAACTCCAAAGAGCTTTTTATATTATTACATGGTTTCATAACTTGAGTTTCAGACCCCTTTGTGATCCATCCATCCTATGACTTTGTGATTGGGAAGGATTTCATAGGAAGAAAGCATCAGGTCTGCTCACAGGTGGTTTTATTCTACCACACACCTCACATCCCATTACTTCTTGTTTACACCCCATCCTTGATCTAGATCATCTTCCCTCTACTCTTATATTTAGTGATGCACTAATGGGTATTGAGAAAAAAACATTTTCAGGGTCTATTGCATAATACCATATTCCATGGTTGCGTTAATTTGCTCAAGTGGTGAAACCATATCTGATACAGCAGCCACATTTGGAGCCACCACCTGGCCAAGCTTACAATAATCCACCATCATTCTCCAATATCCACATCTCATGCACAGGCTGAGCATGTGAGTTGAATGGGGATGTGATAGGGATCAACCTGGGTCTTTGATGTCCTTGACTGTGGCACGAGTCTCTGAGTTTCCTCTTCTGGTTTCCTGAGTACAGGCAGTTTTAGTGGCTTCTGCTTGACCTTTTCTACCATTATAGTCCTCACTCCACAGGTGTGGGAAAAAATGTGGGGATTCAGTCAGTTTTCCAGTGTGTCATTAAGATCCTACGAAGACAAATTATGCAATCCGTGCCTGGGGAAGGAGTCACAGGATGGGGTCAAGGACCCTCTGCATCCCTTGTGAAAAGTGTCTGAGATGTAACTCCATTGAGCACCTGATCTTCATAAGCGCCTATTTTGACTGGTGGGCCACAGTGACATTTCGGGTCTTCTGAAAATAGTGTCAGCTCAGAGACAGTGGTCAGTAATCTTGAAAGTCTAATTATTTCTTATTCCTCATGCACAGTCACCCTGGGAAAAGGCCAAAGTTCCTTTGAGGAAGACTAGGAGTAAGGTAAATTGTACACCTCTTTAGTAGTGTAGCGGCATCCTTCCTCAAGGGACCTGGCCTCCTCTGCATTCCAGGGCTTCTGGGTCTGTAACCTGGCTCAGTGATGGCAACTGATTAAAGGGCCTTGTGTCTCTGATTGTTGTTCAAGTTAGAATCTATTCACTTGGTCTAGAGCTCTTCCACATACACCTATCAAGTCATACTTTAGTACATTAGTGATCTATTAGTTTTCTAGGACATCATCATCAAACAGCTAGTCTCATTTGTTCTCTGTGAGACAAACTGTTCTGATTATTTCCTAAGCTCTGCTGTCAGCAAAGGTATCCATGCCCTCCTTGTCTTTGGCATCAAGGTCTATGAGCTGAGTGGTCCTAGTGGCAGTGACACCCCAGTAGAAGTGAGCCCTCCCAGCATCAAGCTCTTGGTTAATAACATCATTCTCCCATGAAAGGAATTATGACTCCTTTAGGAAATGGTGAATTTTAGGTCTGGGGATGGAAAAATGCAAGATGATCCTGGAACATCTTATAGTGTGTGAAATTAAGGAAGTGACAAAAATAAAGTATGGTGACATTTCAAAAGGATAAAGTAGTCAACACGAAAGAGCTTAAAATGGTCATCAAGGCTGGTACAATCTGAACAATATTAGTAACACAGTATTGGATTTTAACCAATGTATAAAACAAATATGTAGGAATCCATATTGATATTAATAAATTATTGAATAAATGAAACATTGGATTAAGGGACAAATTCTCTAGAAGAATAATTTCAAATAACAAATGTAGAGATCCCTCCTTTCTACGGTATGTACAAGAATATCTTCTTTTTCACTATACATTCCAGTAAGAATTTAGCAGACTGTACATCTCTTCATTTTCAAGGATGTGGGCTTTACATTCCATCCCTAGAGCGTAGCCTGGACTTATGCCCTTGGAAGAACTTCAGGGTTGACCTTGCATTTAGCAATGAGATTTTATTTATTTATTTATTTATTTTGAGGAAGATCAGCCTTGAGCTAACATCTGCTGCCAATCCTGCTCTTTTTGCTGAGGAAGTGTGTCTCTGAGCTAACATCCGTGCCCATTTTCCTCTACTTTACATGTGAGATGCCTACCACAGCACGCCTTGCTAAGTGCTGCCATGTCCGCACACAGGATCTGAACCGATGAACCCCGGGCAGCCAAAGGAGAATATGTGAACTTAACCACTGTGCCACTGGGTGGGCCCCTAATAATGAGATTTTAGATATTACACCTAATACATTATCCGTCAAAGAAAATAAGAAGATAAATGTTACTGTGTCTAAATTAAAAACTTATGTTCTGCAAAAGACACTCTTCAGTGAATGAAAAGATAGGAACTAGCCTGGGAGAACATATTTTCAAATTGCATATTTTGTGCCATGAATGTAAAAGAAAATCTACACAGGAGAAAAGAAAACCAATAAGCAAATTTATAAATAAGCCAAAGATATGAACAGACACTTCCTGGGGGAAGACAGAAAAAAGTATTTTGCATGATTTTTCAATACAAAAAAATTACACTTAAACAACTATGAAGTATACTACTCATCTATTAGAATGGCAAAATCCAAAATACTGACAATACCAAATGCCGACAAGCATATGAAGCAGCAGGAAATCTCACTCACTGCTGGTGAGAAGACAAATGGCACATTCACTTTGGAAGACAGGTTGACAGTTTCTTGTGGAGTAAACACAGACTTCTTGCATGATTCATGGATGCGTTTGGAAGGCTTCTGGAGTTTTATCATTACACTGAAGGGACTGGGCCATCTGGAGAAGCTTAATAGCAGGGAAACAGCACCCTACATCATTTGGTGAAGAAATGCTGCACAGGTTGCTGTGAAGGGAGATGTTTCAGGGATGAATTAAGAGTCCTGGGCAAGTGTCCAGGTGTGGTTTGAATAACAGTCCATTGTGACCACATCAAATGAAGGCACAGACAACAGACATTCCGGACATCTCAGGAGATTCAAGATCCTTCTGGAGGTTTACCTTCTTGATTTCACCCCACTTACCCCATGCAGCCCATCAGATAAGCCTATACAGATGTTACTGTACATGGAACTATGATGCACAGGAATTGCAGGATGTAATGTGAGCATCCTTCCACTCACACCGTGTTGCTAATGACTTGCAGCTGTGGATACACATCCTGTGAATTTTCAGTTTCCCCAACTCCAGCTCAAGGCACATGGAGCAGGATAGTATTTAGCAATTGGTAATAACATTCTAGAAAATATTACATGATATCTCAACTAGAGTTAGAAGGAATAAAATATATTAAAATTTAGATAAAGGATATAAGCAAGATAATGCTGAAGATTATTAAAAAAAAAGCCATTACAATGCTCCAAACACTTACACATATTGACATAGAACAATCAATCTGTATTATATACTTTTGTAAAACAACAATGGAAAAAAAGCTATGTGTTGAGAAATTAAAGAACAGAAGGAAGAAAGAAGGAAGGAAGCAGAGGAAGGAGGGAGGCAGGCAATGATCGATTGTGAGGAATTTCCTCTAACTGAAATATTTGGTATATTTCTGATGCATAGACTAGGCAGCTTATTTTTTTCTTTTTCTTCTTCTTCTCCCCAAGGCCCTCAAGTACATAGTTGCATATTCCAGTTGTAGGTCTTTCTGGTTGTGCTATGTAGGATGCCACCTCAGCATGGCTAGATGAACAATGCCATGTCCAATCCAAGGATAAGAACTGGCCAAACCCTGGCCTGTTGAAGTCGAGCGTGGGAATTAAACAGTAGCCCATGGGGACAGGCCCTAGGCAGCTTTTTGATAATGACTTTGAAACAAAGATCATGGGGTAACCCTGTAGAGGATGCAGTCTGAGCTCCTGAAGAGAAACCACGTTCCAAAAAAAGGCATAGGGACACCAAAGAGCATGTCTCTGCCCTATCACATCAGGGACGGGACTCCTTTCTACACTGTTCATCTTGTGTTATCACTTCTGAGGGCAGAGTAGATGGTGCTTCCTCTGGGGGTGGATCTGAGTAGTCCCTAGGGGTGGGGCTCTGGGGCTCTCCTCTGCAGCTTGGCACTGGTGGAGGGTTTTTGACGCTCTTAGGATGTGGTTTCTCTCACTGTGTCCCTCGCACAGTAATACATGGCTGTGTCTGAGGACTCAGGCTGCTCCACTGCAAGTAGGAGGTGCTGATGGAATTCTTCATGGGGATCATGACATGGCCTTGGAAGGACGTGCCATAGCATGTATCCAAGTCACCAGGATAGATCATCCCAATCCACTCCAGTCCTTTCCCGGGCATCTGGCAGAACCAGCTGATCCAGTAGCTGGTAAAGGCGTATCCAGATGTCTTACAGGAGATCCTCAGAGACTGTCCAGGGCTTTTCACCTCTGGTGCAGACTGCATCAGCTGCACCTGGGTGCAGACACCTGTGTGGAAGATGAAGGACTCAGGTCAGGGCGCTCTTTTCCAACCTTGCCCTGGAAACCAACACCTGGGCCCTGACTTACCTGGGAAGACAGCCAGGAGGAGGGTAAGGATGGTGGCAGGACCCATCTTGGAGGAGGACGTGAAGGGACAGCACTGAAGACCCAGCTGGGTGGTGATGGAGACTCCAGTGTGAAGGGGGAGCCCTGGCTCAAATGGGTGGTTCCCCCAGGTGCGTTTGCATATTTACCACCCTAGCCTCCAGGAGAGGATAAGGTTCAGTAACCCCCAACCCCCTTCCAACAGTCTTATCACAGCACGTGAGGACAGGGACCACATAGAAGGACAGGACTGAGGAGGACAACGGTTGGTGTGCACACTGTCCTGAATACTGGTGGCTCTCACCATGTGGTCCTCAGACCAGCATCAGTGGGAGCCTGTTTGGGATGCAGAAACTCAGATCAACCCTATTTGTCCTGAATGTGAATATCTGAGCATGGGTTCCAGGTATCTGCATTGTAATACTTTCTGCAAGTGAGTCTTTTTGCACCAAAGATTGAGAAATACTTGCCTACCAGTAAAGATGGGATGAAGATTATCCTTCAACTCCCCATCACAGTAGGACCTGAAATAAAACAAACATCACTTTGTGTGTGTTATAGGCTACAATGTAGTCTCTTCAAAATTCGTATATTGAAGCCATATGCTCAGTACCTCAAAATGTGACTGTATTAGAGATAGGGGCTAGTGGCAGGAATTAAGTTAAACTGAGGTAATTAGGTTGTACCCTATTGCAACGTGACTGATGTCCTTATAAGAAAAAGCAAATAGGACACAGTGGGAATACTCTTGGAAAACAGAGGGAGAACACAGACATGTACAACCCAAAGAGAGAGGATGATGGAGAAAACAACCCTGCTGACATCTTCATCCCAGACATCTGGTTCCAGAATGCATACAAATAAATTTGGATGTTTAAGTCACCCCATCCACGTTATTTTGCTATGGTAGCCTGGGAAACTAACAAGTAGCCAGCCAGCAACTTTTAACTCACCTCACGTTAGATCCTTCAACCCTCAGGAAAAAGAAAATGTAATCTGAGTATGTTGGGAGCATGGATTCTGGGAGTTATCCTCAAAATGCAAAGCAGGCGTGGGTGGGACAGGAACTTGCTGGTGAGTAGTGTGTGCTGCACAATTTGGGCTTTGTCACTTTTCAAAATTTTACAGAAGAAGTATTACCAACAACCTAAAATAATAAAAACAGAAATATTGAAATGGGCAGAGGGCAGGAAAATGTTTCTCTCTATCCCTGCTCCTCTGTGCTCTGGAGTTTCTCAGTGAAATGGCATTCAGTCTTAGATCCCTGAGGTAGGCTAACCCAGATAATTCTAGCAGAAACCTGTGCTGGAATAAATTCCTATGTTTCACATTCAGTGATCAGGTCTGAACATAGACGAATTATCACGGAGTTGTGCTGTTCTGTGCTGCACTGTAGAGCCCTACAGCTCTCTCTTGTAGGGTCAGCCAACCTAGATCAGAGGTTTCCATAATTAATCAGCATTAAGAGACAGGGTATTGGGATGTGTCCCTCACCAAAGTGGAACTTGGTTGTGAGTCTCAGTCCAGACTTATTCTTGGGTCTTAGAATAAATTGTGCTTCTTGACTCCAGCCTGACCACTCAATTATTGGCAAGTGGTAGGCCCTAATCCTGATGTACTAATTGAGGCTCTTTGGAGGATGAAATTTATAAATATGAGCAAGAACAAGAGGACCCCCTGAAGTATATCCAGTAGCCACCTAAACCAAAAATGAAAAATAATGAAAGAAAACTGTATCTTGATGCGGGGAAATGGATAAAGAAAGAAACCTGAACAGAAATCTACAATTTGACCCAATTTTAAATTCTAAACTTAATAAAAATATTTATGCTATAAATATAAGAGCACGCTGATTGGCTTTGTGCCCCTTCTACACAGTTTCTTAACTAACATTGCTGAAATGCACAGATTGACAAGACTGCAAGTTTTAATCAATAATGAGGCAAAAACTACAGTTACATCTGGGCTCCCTCAAAATCTGAGCCATGTGCTTCCTATGCCCTTAGGGGAGTTTGCAAATCCAAAATGGAAGACGATCAGGTGTACTTCTCCTTAACCACCATAACTTGCCTTAATCCCACATGTTGCTATCACCCACTGACTTAAAACACCTCATAATCATCGTGGGTTTTCCAACCTGATGAGTAATGGCTTTAATCAAATTTTCTTTGACACTTACAAACTGACTTGACAAAATAGAGCCCTTGGGCCATAATCCATTGTAAATAGTTAATTCAGCCCAATGTAAATTAAAAGAGGACTCTCAAGGATTGACACCCATCCTACAAGAATGTTTACAAAAGGGGTGATTAGGGGCCGGCCTGGTGGCACATCCGTTAAGTGTGCACGTTCCACTTTGATGGCCAGGGGCCCATGGGTTCGGATCCTGCATGTGAACATGGCACTTCTTGGCAAGTCATGCTGTGCAAGGCATCCCACATACAAAGTAGAGGAAGATGGGCACAGATGTTAGCTCAGGGCTAGTCTTCCTCAGCAAAAAGAGGAGGATTGGCAGCAGTTAGCTCAGGGCTAATCTTCCTCAAAAAAAAAGGGCGGGGGGTGGTTATCCCACTGCTTTTCCAGTTAACAGCCTGACTGATGCTGTTCTTAAATTTGGAAAGAATGATTGATGTTTAATTCATTCTTCCTGTCACCTAATACTGTGATCCTTCACATTAAAGACCCACATTCAATCATGTTGAAATACTGACTGTACTCAATTAGAAGCTGTCAAATATTTTACCACTCTACATTTTGTTAATATATTCTATCCTGTGACCCATCAACATGCTCTCTACCTCTGTTTAACAAAGTTATTGAAAAAGCATCCATCTCTGTCATCAAGCCTAAAATATAAGCACCTACGAACCAGGTGAAATTTCACTATTATCCTTGAACAATTACCATAATAAAATTGAAATATTGTTCTGTTTAATAAATGAATATTAAAAGTTGTAATGTGGAGATTAAATTCTATGTTGACTGTGTTCACCTTCTTAAGTTAGCAATTTCTCATGAAAATTAAATACAATTATGTTCATTTATCTTGTGAATTTTGGGCAGTTATGACAGATATACTGTTTCTATACACAAGAGAGTTCCTCTCACAGGTCCTTTCAGTGGTAGGTGCCTCACAAGATGACCTTCTCCACCTCATTCTCCTCCACCTGTGATCATGGCTGGACCAGGGCATAGCCTCCTCCTCCTCTGGTAACAAGCTCTCCTGGGAGATGTGATTCTGACTTCTGTGCCACTTACTTTATAGAGAATTCTCACCATATCAGGTCAACTGCATTCTCGTTGTTCTTGGGTAGACTGTGGTGACAGTGCACAAGCCTTTGAGGAATCAGCCACTAGTGTCCTCTCACTTCCAGGGAGGACAAAGAATTTCTTTGTCAAAAAGTTCATGTTACTCACCCACATTCTGAGTGGTCATCATCCTGACATCACCTCAGGAATTTCCAGAGCATCCTGCACAATGATGACTCCAATTCATGAGAGCTTGCAGGAACGGCGGACAACTTTCATGGGTTTCATATAAATGAAAACACTTACATAAATGTTTTATATCTGAAAACAATATTAAAATTGAAAAAGAAAAGATCACAAGTAGCAGTATATAACGAAACCTTTGAAAAAACCATATTTAAATATGACCCTAAGGTGATCCTCTTATGTCCCTCCTAACCTGTAATACACAATGATGCACCATCCCCATAACCATGGTTCTGAAACCCTCACATCTGCGGAGATCATGGAAGACGGCAGAGCCTCAGACACAGTTAATCCAGGATTTCTTACTCGAAGTGAGGACAAGTGTGTCTCCAGTCAGATATGGGAGATCCCAAAGAATGGAAATCCTTCCACGAGGTGAATGATTTGCCTCATTTTCCACCCAAATACTCCATGGTAGAGAACAATAAATCTGGAAGAAATATTTAAGAAATTGCATGAGGTTTATACCCAAATCCTTACTTAGTAAATGGAACATATTCCTTCCTCATATTGATGGTATAATAGGAAAATTGAGCGATTTTATCACCAATGATAGAGGGAATGTATATGAGAGGATAGTTACTGAGAAAAGCACATGTAGCACTGGGGAGAACATGGTCAAATGATCACCCAGGGCAGTGATTTTGTGCAGGACAGAGTGAGCTTCAGGGTGTTGTGGCATCATTCTGCAGCAAAAGGACACTATCAACAAATACCTGGATGTCATCCCAGATAGCTCATAGCACGCAAAGTTTCCACCCTCAGCTCTCCCCAAAACCATAGGTCAGAGAGTTGATACTATAACAGCTTTAGCAGAACAAGACCAGTTATACATCCATCTCCCATTTTGACCAAACCATCATTATAGTCAGGCTACCAATGTGCACTTATATTTCCCAGATGAATGCATGCACAGAGGACAATCGGAGGGTCCAGGTCAATGGAGTCTTAGAAAGTCCCCTGAACCTTTCCCAGGTGCTGCAAGAGCCAAGCCTGAGCCTCATCAGAGCTCCAGACAGAGAGTCTACTCCCAGGATTTGGACCACAGAAACCACATCCTCCATTTTGGAAGAAGAAGTTGCAAAGGGAGCTGTGAGAACAAAGCCCATGGAGGAAGAGAATGGATTAGCAGAGAAAGGGGGAACCAGATCAGTTCTGAGTCTGATATGCACAGCTGCACCTGAGTAGGAGGGTCAGATATGAAATATCTTAGGTTTGATAGGTCAGTGGTCCTGGCCTAGACTCTCTCTTATCTGAAATCCTGACACCCAGACACGTTCCTATTCAGGGAATCCCACTGAGGTCTCTGTTCTGAGTCTGAATGGAAAAGAATGATCAGGTCCCCTGAGCTCTCTCAGGACTCTGATCCTGGTGACCATTGACAGAGTCATTTCTACCTCCATAGATGACACTTTGCTTTTAAGCAGATGACAAAGATTTTCTCACATTGCAACAAATGTTCTCATCTATAGCTAAGTGGTAAGAACAGAAACATGAGTCCAGAGAGGTTCTCTCAGAAACTGTTACAAGAAGAAGCCCCGGATCCTGACAGGCGACCTGCTCTGAGCGATCTCTGCACCTGCTCCTTGGCTGGTTTTGTGCTTCCTGGTCTGGAGCTCTCCCTAGTGGTCTTGCGCACCCCATGCTGGTCTGAGTGCAAACTTTGCTTTCAAAAGCCCCTGGAGAGAAACAGACCCTCTTTTTTCCCCTTCCTCTTTCTACAACATACAGAGTGGACACTATCAGCCGACGTACTATGCTTCTTCCTATTCAAATGATGTCTGCTCTGAGTATTTGTCCTCGACTGACCTCCTCACCCTTCTCCTTAGCCATAAATCCCCAGCTGTCCTTACTGTATTCAGAGGTCTGCCTTATTTCTACCTCATGCTGCAAAAGCCCTGTTGCAGGAGTCTTAAATCTTCCCCGCCATTTTAGCAAGTGTCGGAAGAGATGTTTCATTATAAATACAGAGGAAGCAAAATCAGAGAAGCTTTTGAACTCTCTGACAGTAAACAGACTGATAAAAGTGCTCAGCTTCAAAAATCTGCCAGGCTTCAAAATAAAGGAAGGGTAGATCCATGTTAGAGCAACAGGTCCGGGGGTTGGGGTTTGAGTCACAGAAGATTATCCCCAGGACTTGAAACCTAGTGGAGTTTTCCCGGATGGCTTTCAAAGTTGATTCGGGCAGTTGATTCCTTCTAACTCCCATTTTTTTCTCCCTCGGGGTAGAAATATCTATAGCTTTTAGCATATGCCTGCCCTTCAGTGGCATTTTAGAAGAAGGTGACTTGTTTTCCAGCATCACAGGTCTGCAGATGGAGAGGATTTTACACTAGGATAAACCAGACCCATACTCACAGTAAAACTTGATTTAGATGATTTGGTTTGAGATGTTGGAAATAATTATAGAAGGATTTTGGCCTTGAGTGAATGCTTTAACAGATTAACATTTGTGGAGAAGTTGGGACGTGTTAAGTGTGATTGGACTATTACATGGGTATGATTTTTTGGGGCTGAGGGTGGACCATGGTCGTTTGAGTCATTCTTTGAATCTGTAGATGGTATTTTGTATGGCAGAATGAACTTTGCCATATTTTATGCATTTAGAATTCTTGAGTTCCAAAAGTTTTCCTTGGTTATATGTACTGCTCCTAATACAATCACAAGTGTTTACATCAGAGGGAGGCAGAGGGTAACTAGACTACAGAATAAGAAGAAAACAGTGCGACCACTGATGAAAGGCAATTTACTTCTGGCTATGAGGATGGAGGAAGGGGCCATGAGTGAGGAGAAGCAAGGAATGCAGTTCCAGAAGCTGGAAGACACAAAAAAACCCTAAAATCTTCTGGTGTGAGTCAGTTTGGGATGCTATAACATAATGCCATACTGGACAGCTTAAGAACCACAAGAAATTATTTCTCACAGTTCTGGAGCTGAGTATTCCAAGATCGAGGTAGCAGCCTGGTCACCTTCTGGGGAGGGGCCACTTCCTGGTTCAGATTCGGCCCCCTCTTTTCCTGTCCTCACGTGGAGAAGAGGCGTGTGATCTCTGGGGCCTCATTTGGAAAGGCAGCAATCCCTCTCATGGGGCTCCACCCTCATTAGCTATGCACCGCCCAATGACCCCAGCTACCAAGAGAATTGTCTTTGGTGGTTAATATTCAACATAGAAATTTTAGGGGACACATGTATCCAGACAATAGCACTCCTCTAGGGCCTCTGGAGGGAGTACAGTGCTGGAATAGCTTGATTTCAGGACAGTGAAACTGATTTCAGACTCTGAGCTCCAGAATGTAAGAGAATAAATGTGTTGGTTTAAGCCCTGTGTGTGATGATTTGATCCAGTGATCAGAGGAAAGTAATTCAGGCTGGAATGTGAGTCTCACATGATCAAGGGTCTCCACACACTGCTCCGTGTCGTGTGATGACCATCAGCACTGCCCCAGGGACAGCAACACTTTCCTGGCTGTTTCTGTGGGGACGCACCTCTTCAAGGACTCACCACTGACGGCGAGGACTGAAGAATGGTGTGTGCATGTAGACTGTGGTTGCAACTGGCGCACCTGTCCACCCACAACTTTGTTACAATAAATTTAGGATTGTGCTTCCGGACTATCCTGTGCATGATGCTTGACCAGCCTCAGAAACAGAAATTCATGCTTGTCCTTCATATCCTTACTTTCCCAAGCAATAGGCCAGTTTTCCAAAATACGGTGAAAGTCAGAGAACCTGCTAGAGAGAGCTCTGTAGTCCAAGAATCCCACATTTGACACCAAGCAAATTTTCCCAGATGATCCGTCAACTAGGATTTCCAAAGAACAAAAGGACTCATTATCCCCAGTAGAAAACCCAAGTAAATGACACTGGTCTTTTGAGGCAAGATCACCTCCCTGTGTCTTGCTCAAAGAACACTTGGGATCTTAAATCCTTCCAGTAATAGACTAGCGTGCCCATGAGGTCATTATCCTTTATCTCAGATTCCTGAGTCTTTGGTATGAGGAGCAGAAGAATTATACTCCCTTCATCTCCTCAGCCCAGCACAGCTGCCGTCTCCCTCAGGGTTTCTGACACTCTCAGGATGTGGGTTATCACACTGTGTCTTTCGCACAGTAATACATGGCCGTGTCCTCAGATGTCAGACTGCTCAGCTCCATGTAGACTGTGCTCGTGGACTTGTCCACGGTGATGGTGACTCTGCCTTGGAACTTCGGTGCGTAGCTCGTATCATCATCATGAGGACTGATAGATCCCATCCATTCAATCCCTTTTCCATTGGCCTGTCGCACCCAGTGCATAGCATATTCAGTGAAGGTGTATCCAGAAGCCTTGCAGGAGATCTTCACTGATGACCCAGGCTTCTTCAACTCTGGCCCCGACTGTATTAGCTGGACCTCGGAGGAGACACCTGTGGAGAGAAGACACGAGTGGATGGAATTTCTCTTGTGTGGTCATGATCTCTTCTTCAGTGCAGGGACAGGGGAACCCCTTACCTGAAGCTACTGCCACCAAGAAGAGGATTCTCCAGCTCCAGCCCATTGTGAGGCACTGTGGTCTCAGGGCTTCTGTAGGGGAGGGAGTGTGATGTTTGGGTGATGCTCCCCGGCAACAGACATATCCATATTTATCTCCATAGATCTCCTATCATTTGCATATTCATGAGGAAGAATATTTCCTAGTTGATGACCTGGCCCAACCTGAGAATGAGCTGACAGATGATACAGCAAGCGCGTTCAACAGGATGAGGAGGCTCCTAGTCCTAATCCGTGTTGTAAGATGTCTGTCTCCTGACATGTCCAGAGCTTTGTGTGTACAGACCTCCTTGCACTGAGGCACAAGCCCTCAAAGGACGTGCTTCTCATTTGTAACCCATCTGATCCTCTTCTGGGCTTTGATGTCTGAATGTCTTATCCTTGGGATGAGAGAATCTGCAAACATTTTGTAAACTTTGAATTAATATCATGATCTTTCTAGTCCAAATTTTGACTATGAAGATATTTAGAATTCCTAGAAGCCCATTTTGTAATATAGTTTGTCATTCCCTGACTGTTTTTGATAAATTATCCCAATAGAATTATCCGTTTAAAGACATTTCAGCAATCCTTGCCCGGATCTTATTTTAGATTGCTATTTCTTTGAAAAAGAGTAAATCCAGGCTCTTTGAGGAAAGCCCTCCCCAGTCTCCTTGAGCACCTGCTCCTGGGCTGGAGCCCTGTGCTGGGTGGTCCTGAGCGCTCCGTGCAGGGGATGATGCTGTTGGGGCTCACAGGGCGTTCACCTCTCGGTGTTTCTATGCAGTGTTAGTGACTGTGCCCAGGCTTCAGAATGCTGCTGCCCAGGACTCTGTGGACACCACCAGGAGTGTGAGCATGGGACTAGGACTGAGGCTAGAAATGGAAAGGGTCACCCCTTCAACACTCTCGGGCCTGCAGCTGGGGGTTCCCTGGAGACACTGCAGCTGTTGGAGGTGAGATCCCTGAGAAGTAGGAGGACGAAGAGGCAGGACTGTTGTCAGCTGACTCAGGTGAGGTGGCTCTGCAGGGTCCCCTGGTGGACAGGGCTGCAGCTGGCTGGAGCAAGATCAGCTCCGGAGGGTGCCTGGCTTCCGCAGGACACCTGGTCATTAGGACAGACTCAGGTACTGCCTATCCTTGGGGCTCCATCCTGTTTGTCATTTTCCCCTCCTGACAACTTGCCTCGTGGACTCAAGACCCCACGTTCAAGGTGGAGAGAGACTCACTAATCAGTCACCCCATGGAGAGGCGAGTGCTGGCTGTGTCCTTGGAGACCTCAGTGCTTTCTCTGGGGTCCCACTTCACCAACACCAGGGCTCCTCTCTTCCCAGCAGAAAATGTGCTGAAGGAGCTTGTCATGGGGCCCTATGTGGCCAGGAGGACTGGCTGCTTTGAGAACAGTGCCATCCTCTCTCTACTCATGCGGATGTTTCTACATTTATCAAATGCCCACCACAAATCCAGGGGCTCCATATTGTCAGATAACCAGTCCAGTCCATTTCCCTTCTCCACTATCTCATGTCGAAACTATTGGATATTCCAAGTTTGAAGAAAGCAGCTAAAAGAAAAAAAAACTGCATTGAATTCAGACAAAGCTGGGTGACACCACTGCTTATCGTAATTCAGAACAGCTTTACCAGCTCACTTAACTGGAGAGGACACTTCTTCAGTGAAACAGCTTCCTGACCAGGTATGTTCAGCACTCCCATGGATGTGGATTTACTCATATCAAGTTATTTTGCAGTTCATAATTGGGACAAGGTGGACATTTCCACGGAGGGTAATCATTCCTATAATTATTGAAATGACCGGCAACCCCTATTCTTGCTTCTTTCTGTACACAGCTCAGAGTCTGTGAGACCAATCTAGACTCAGGTCTCCCTCCTTGAGGGACACCGTTGAGAAATGCAAGTGCCACTCAGATCACAAATTGAGACAGCTGGTGGGGGCCACAGAGCTCACCAAGATGCTGGGTGAGGCCACTGATATGAGGAGTCACTGTGTGGATGTGCAGATGTGGGCTCACCCCTTGTGATTGTGTCTGAAATAATATAGGATGGAGGTTTGAGTGGCAACGTTGTATGCACACTACACAGTAGGACGGCATTGCCATTGCCTCCTTGGGGGCCTTCCCAGTTTTTTAGGGACTTGGGTTGTTTTCTAACCACATTGGATGCTTATCTCTTTTGTCCACTCACTTTTTCTAGTTGTAAGTGGAGTAATTAGTCAGACTATCTTTGACATTTGACTGCTGATACCTTAATACTCCTTCCTCTCTAGTCTCATTTTGTCCAAATATGGGAAATCTGATGAGAAAGCACAAGTTCCCCCTCCTTTGATGCTTTGAGAGATTCAAACCCCACGAGACCCTCTGTGAGCAAGACCCTCACTCCTCCCCGACATCGAACCATAATAAAGGCCCTGAGCCAGTCTGCTTCCCGGACTCCATCAATCCATTTCTGTCCTCATGGAGAGCCTGCCATGCTCTCAACAGACAGCTCAGTGACAGGGAGACAAACGTTTCTGTTCCCTTGGTGAGTGGTGTCATCTGACTCCACTTCTACATCAGCTGTGGTGCGGGTCCCTCTGCATCTGCACGGTGCTCCTGAAATTGATGCTGTGAGGGTGGGGTCAAGACAATGATCCCACCGCTGGGGGTCCTTCTTCTCTTGCTTTGGACTCATAAGGCCTCTGTTGTCTGAGGTCCAGCCTGCACTGCACGCCCCTGCTGGCTGGCGGGCTTGTGCACTGAGCTGTGCTGGGCTGCATTGTTGAGTCCAGCAGAGCCTCTGTTATAGATTGAGCTGACTGACCTCAGAAGCTTAGGAGTTAGTTGGCCTTTGTGGAAGGTGTAGTCCACGGTTGGTGACTCTGTGCCCTCTGTGCTTGTGAGTACAGGTTTCTCCTATTGCAACAATGTTTCTATTCAGAGACTGTAGAGGTAAACACAGAATTCTGAGACCAGGTAAGTTCCCCAGGGAAAACTGCTATATGGAGAGCAAGTCCCAGACCCTGATAGGAAACCAGCCGTTAACCGACATCTTCCCCTGCTCCTGGGGCTGAAACACAGAATTGGTGGGTTGTGTGCACCCCCTGCTGGTCCTGAGCACCCCCTACATCTCTGCTTCTCCTTCTGGGCTCACACTGACCTCCCCTCACTGTGCGTCTTGCACGGTAATACACAGCCATACCCTTGGTGCTCAGTCTGTTCATTTACAAATACAGCATGTTCTTGTCATTGTCTCTGGAGATGGTGAATCAGCACTTCACAAAGTCAGCATAGTAAATGCTGCATCCATCTGTATTAATTCAACCAACCCAGTCCAGCACCTTCCCTGGAACCTGGCAGACCCAGTCCATCCAGTAGCTGCTACAGATGAATCCAGAGGCTGCACATGAGACTCTCAGAGACCACCCAGGTTGCACCAAGCCTCCCCCGGACTCCACCAGCTGCACCTCACACTGGACACCTGCAAACACAAAGACATCCTGGTCAGGAAACTGTCTCACATATACTGATTCTCTCACTCGTATCCTCTCACATACTCAATTATCTCTTGTTCTCTGCAAATTCTCTCTTAAAAGAGCAACAAGGAAAACCCAGTTCAGCCTAAACTGCATGGTGCGTGGTCTGTGTTCAGTCCTGATCACTGAATGGGAACACCTGGGAATCCCGGGTCTGGGGCTCCTCCCCAAGTACTTCAGGGTAGGGCCTGGGCTGGTTTTCATCAGCGGAGGGAGGGCCCTGTTTGCCAGTCTTCTGAGTGAGTAGCAAATTCTGGGGCTGGACAAGTACAGAGAGCAGAGTGCCCCAGAGAAGATGAGAGAGTCCTGCAGGAGTTTGTTGGCAATTTCAGCGTTCCAGAAAATGTGATCTTAGCATGTAATGTAACATGATCAAGACAGGCCTGGTTATATAATTTTATTTTACATATGTACACAGATCATGTGATGTCATGTCAATTTTAATTCTATTTTGCAGATGCAAACCTATACTCAGAAACACAAATTTGTTCTGCAGTTTGTTACTGAGTAAGCCCCTGAAATGTTTCTGGGTTTGTGCTCCAGACTGGACTCACTGCACCCTGGACCAGCTCCAGGACAGAGCTGGGCATGCCTAGAGAGGTTTACAGAAGCCCCTTCCTGTAAGGAGAACATGTGTGATCTTGCTGCATCCTCGTGTCACCTAGAGGATGAAAAGATAACAGAGTTCATGAAGGTGCATTGGAGTCTGACATTCCACATGGTGTCATCTGTCTCTAACTCTCCTTGTCTACCAGTTTATGCAATTGTTTATTTGTAACAATCTTATTCATGAATAACTGATACATAACAAACTGCACATATTTACCACATACATTTTAAAATATTGTCATACGTGTACACCTGTGCAAATCACCCCATCCAAAGAGTGCGCAATTCTTCCACACTGAATCATTTCCTCATGCTCCTCTGTTGTTCCTCCCTGCCACTTTGTCCCTTCTCCCACCCAGATGTGATGTAACACGTCCATGTTGTGTGAATCCGGCTGGCGTTGATTTTAATGCTGAGCAGTATTCCAAGGTATGGATACACCTCAAATGGTCTCCTATTCCCCTGTCAGTTGGTACCTGGATTGTCCCCAGTGACTGGCTGTATAATGAAATTGCTTCTCAATTTGAAGACTCAGAGAGCTGAGAAAAAGTAGATTTTATTCTTTTTATTTATAATATGTTTCAATTCTGCAACATTATAATTTGACATCTGTAAATGCTACAAAGTGATCCCCAAAAAGTCTAGTTACCATCTATCACCCTACAATCAATCGCCATCACCCCATTCCCACACCATCCGACCCCCTCCCCCTCTGGTAACCACCGAACTCTTCTCTGTATCTGAGAGATGTTTTTGGTTTGTTCTGTTTCTTGATTTTTTATTAGATTCAATTTTTTTGAAATAATACAGTGCTTGCCTTTGTCTTTCTGACTTATTTCACCTGGCATAATTCCCTGGAGGTCCATTCATCTTGTCGCAAATGGTAATATTTCCTTCTTTTTCATGGATGACTAGTATTTCAATGTATATATAGATCACATCTTCTTTGTCAATTTTTCCACTGATGGGCAC